TAACTAGGTTTATTCTTTATTATGTATTTGATTATGTCCCTAATGTCAAACTCTTTCATTTCAGACAGATAAAGGCCTCTCTGAAGTATGGCAAGAAAGTACACAAAATCCTAGTAACCAGTGGAAAAATGCTGTCATCCTGCTAGGAAGGTTAAGGAATTTTGAAGTCATATTTCAAGGTATCAGAACAAGAGATCTTGGAGGAGGAGCTGCAATTGATGACATTGAGTTTAGAAACTGCACGACTGGTAAGTTTCTGGAAAGCAGTCCGGTTTGCAAGTACATTTATAAAGTGGCCATTTTTACCTTGCTTGTGTATTTGTAAAACATCCTACAGTTATGTGCCTCATGTACACATGTACACACAAATAGTTTGAAAAGTAAAATTCCATAATTGTAAAATTACAAATCCATGTGAATGGAAAAGACCTGTCTTAGTCTATTTGGGCTGTAGTGGCAACGTATCATAAGCTGAATGAATGGTTTGTGCACAGCAGAAATGTATTTCACACAGTTCTGGAGGTGGTAACATTCAAGATCAAGGTGCTGGCAGGTTCAGTGTGTGAGGAGAATTTGTTTTCTGGTTAGTAGATAACGCCTTCCTGCTGTGTCTTCTGCTGGTGAAAGGGCAAATGAGCTCCCTTTGGCCTATTTAAGGACATTAATTCCACTACTGCAGGGTTTGTCCCTGAACGACTTCTGATGACATCGCCTTGCAGGTTAAAATGTCGGCCTGTGAGTCTGGGGGCTCCAATGTTCAGCCATAGCAGCGCCTTCTCTATTCTTCAGTTGCACAAGTAACCCCTCTTTCTTCATACCATTGCCTTCCTAACGTGTAGAAGTATTCCCCTTTGCATTTATTTTTAAAACACAATGTAAAATGTAAGCCTGAAATTTGTAAGTATTTCTCTAATTTAATGGGAAGTGAACCAGTAAAAAAGACGAGAAGCTGCTCTTAGTGCCTACATAAGAAATAAGTTCAAATAGGTAAAGTCAAGCAGAACTTGTTTTGAGAGCTTTACTCAGAAGATTTAAAAATCCTGCTCCGGCTTGTGAGCAATAACGAAAAAATTGCTATGTTTTATCGTGCTTCTAAATGTGAAGTACAACTACACCTAAATCTTCTTTACAAAACTATCCAGAAATGTCAAAAATAATTATACATGCATTTGTACAATTTTACAGTTTGCCACATTCTTTCAGAGGAATTATTCCATTTGTTTTCCAAAATAGTCCCACATGACGTAGACTGCCAACGAAAGATTTGCCTTCTGTGGTTTCTCTATAAGGTTTCACTTGGCAGCAAGCCTCTGGGACAGAAGAGCTAAGCCTGAATGCTATTTAATTTTATTGTTGCTCTCATATTAAAATATCATTTCACTCAGGCAGTTAAAAAATGTGACTTTGGTTTTGGTGCTGTGATAGCATCTGTTCTTTTTATGAGTAGAGCTGCTTCAAAGGATTCTGCTTCGTTAGAAACAAATCTTTTATAGTTTTATTTTTCCCTCTGTTTCTAGAAAAGGTGGTTGCTAGTCAGTTACATTATATATGTTACATAAAATCATAATTGATGTACTCCTTATGACCTAGGAAATACTTAACTCCTGGGATCTGTGCCATAGAGAAGTCAGAGTTTGATTTGGGCTTGGAGGTGACGGGAGAAAGGTGCCTCAAGAAAAAATATAGTTCTGCTCCTATGAAAGGGGAATTGTAGCTATGAGAACGTAGTTCTTAAACCCCTTCCTAGTAAATTTCCCAGTAATATGTTGATTTTCTATTATAGTTTGAAATTCAATCTAGAAATGATTTGGCAACTTGAAAAGGTAAAAGACATCTTCAAAAGTTTTTATAAGACTTTAGAAAGAAAGAAGCTTTTATAAAATGAGAAATTCCTTCCTCTCAGGGAAAGCAGAATGATTGTTCTCCTGGTTGATTCAAGACAGAAGGGAACTGAGAGTTTGTATAATAATAATAATGCAGCTTCTCTTACTATCACACAAGTCTACACTGCTTCCTCCCTTCTTGCTTTAAAATCCTTTGAGAATTTGCATGATTATTAATTGGTTTTGTCCAAATCACTTCGGTGTAGTGATACTGTAATATTTTTATGTTTAGTGATATAGTGGCAGATTTACATCTGTAGTTCTTTCCGTGTCATCAAAGAGGCATTTTGTAGTCAACTGTAGTAGGATAGGATCAATTATATTGATTGCATCTTAGGAAGATGTAGCCATTGGATTTTTAAAGCCCCAGTTTCTATAAATTAGGAGAATTTTCAAATTATTCTTTAAATAAAATGGAAAGAATTTAAAAATTCAGGGAACTAATAATTATGATTTTGTAAATCCTTGTAGTTTTAAGTTATATGTCAATAAAATGTCAGTACTATGTAAGATAGGCACCGAGCAGGAGCTTAGAATATGTGGCCTGAGTTGTTTTGTACTATTGTCAGATGAGAAGACAGTGATATATGGCAAAACACTTGAAAGCAGGAGAAGAACCTCAGTTTAATGGTTAAAAACAACGAGTCTTGAGTCAAACTCCCTGGATGTGGAATCCAGGTCTGCCACGTAGGTTAGGAAAATACTATCATTTTACTTGACCTCCGTTTCCATCAGTAAAATTGAAATAATAAACAATATCTCCTTTATAGGTCTCTGTGAATGTTAAGTGGTTAATATACATTAAATTCTTGGAATAGAATTAGTACATAGTAAGCTACTACTGTATTGCATTTTATTGATACAATTACATCATTATTAACACAATTGTTCTCAAATGATGCGTATGTGTATTAGGAAACCGACTTGAAATAATACATGAACATATCATCACAAAATGTTTTATGGAATTTCTGCCATTTCCCAGTTGAGATGAAGAACTTCAAAAGTGACTTAATTTTTATTTCTGTCATATTCTGCCAATCACACCATAAAATCCGCACAGATTGTGTGATACCACCTATGTGGAATTTTCAACATGGGGAAATATATAGAGGCAGAAAGTAGAATAGTACGTACCTAGGGGTAAGGGAATGGAGGTGGGAGTGGTTCCTCATTGATACAAGGTTTCTTTATATAGGGAGATGGAAATATTCTAAAATTGCTTATGATCCTTATAGCATAACTTTATAAATATACTGTAGCCATCAAACGTTAAAGTTTAAATGGCTGACTTCATGACGTGTAAATTACAAATTCATAAAGGTATTAAAAAATAACAAAAGCAATGAATGATGGTGATGAGAGTGGCAGACAGCTTTTGGTTTTCCTCAAGTCCATACATCAAAACTACAGTGCCTAGTTAGTACTAGACTACCTAGTTAGTGAAGTCAACTAGTGATGGAAAGCTTACACAGCAAAATTAAGTAAAAGGAAGAAATAATTTAGAGATCTAGAGACTTAGGAAACATTGAAGAATAAGTTTGGCATGGCAGGTCCAAGGGATTATGGCCATTGATTTCAGACAAC